CTGGAACCCCATTGTCTAGTACAAGTAGAGACAGTGACAATGAAAGGAAAAGGCAGAGTGAAGGTAGCGCAAACGCCCAGAAATGGGATGCATACTCTCCTCCAACTAGGCCGACCAACTTCCGCTCTATTCGAGACAGCGTCATGGTATCTGGGCTGTTTGGCGGTACTAGTGATACTTCAGACCAACCACGCGTTCAGACATCTCCGCCTTCAGACAGTGGAGCAAAGAATCCGCTTCAAGCCGCTCTTGCAGCACTCAGTGGTTCACCAAAGGAGGCTGCCCCCAAGCGTGGACCTAAACCTCTTCTCCTCAACTCCAGCTCTCTCATAACTCCATCGGGTTCGCGTTCGAGTTTAAGCTCACGCACTCCTAGTCGGCGTCCTTCGCCATCACCTACACCTCGCCCTGGTGATCGATTCTCTATCTCTACTACTGAAGGAGATGATCCTATAACTCCTGGTGCTAGTGGATTCGTTTCATTGCGGAGGGGGCCCATCACCAATCCGCGCACTGCTGGATATGGCCCACGGGATAGTATGCTTTCCTCGAGGGCATCGACGTCGGGTCTGTCCAGCCCCTCTCTGAGCAGCTATGGACTTTCAGTCGAAGTAGAGGCACCTGACGAAGATGGAGAGTATAGATCTCTCCGAAAACAAAAGTCAGCGTCTCTAAAGAACGGCTTCCTGATAGATCAAGGGAAGCCTGGAGACCAACTGACTGAAAGCACTCCTCTAGGAGTCGTCAAGCTCAACACCAGCAGTGACTCATCCCATGACGAATCCACCAACGGGTACATATCCGCGTCATCCCAAATGGAGCAGAAGGAAGATCCTCGCTCCAAGCGACTAATCACCAAGCCAGCCCCTATCCTGACAAGTGCCCCTCCTGACATTCCTGAAGTACAAGTGATCACACCTAGATCTGGAGAGCGGAGCAGTGGACAGAGTGACGATGCCGCTATCAGCAAATCTCCAGAAGCACCCAATAACTTGCAATCAGATCTGGACCTTCCGATCCTCGACCCTCGGGTATCCATCGGCTCATCTTTGACACGTTCTCGAACACCACGAGTCAAAAAGCCTAGGCGAAGCAGCCATGAGGACCGAACTCCACGAGGAGTCACGAGACAACGGAGTCGAGGAAGCCAGGAAGATAGAAATCGCGCTTCTATTATCGGTGCGAGTGGTAGCGAGGAGGAAGGTGCACGTGCAGATGTGGAGGATTTGGACGATATTTATACTATGTATTGACTAATGACTCGTCGCGTAGCTTCTGGTTATCTAATAATACAAGAGGAACTGCGTTCTTCGAACCTTGTCTATACTTATGATGTGGACCCCTCACCTCACCCCACAGATAAGCTTGGGGCCGTAGAGTCGCTTGAGTCGTTGCCGGTTGGTTATTCTCCTTGTATCTGTTAGCTCGGAACTATTGAATGAGGGAGTGAAAATATCATTATAGTGGCAATTACATCTTCAAGGAAAATTGAGACGGGAAACTCCAGTAGCAGGATCCAAGGTGCAGGCCAATGGCCTAAATGGTCGTCACTTTAGATACCCCAGAACCAACAAGCTTTGAACTTGATACCACGCCTTTCTGCCTTCTCCAAGAGCCGATTCATATCTGGATTGCTGATAGATGCTGTGCCCCGTCCTCCCCCAAATCCGTCCTTCTTCCAGAGTCCACCCAATATTGTGACTTGTCGTAGATTGTTTGAATTTATCCAAGAAGAGATGACTTCAGCGTTCCATTGTTGAACGCATAGCCTCTCCAAAGGGTGATCAAGAGGCAGCGTATCGAACTGGAGGATAATTCGTCCGTCCAATACAAGCTCTCGAAGATTTGGTAGTTCGCTCCACTGTAAAAAATGAGTATCCTGGATATTACAGTGGTGTGACGTAATCTTTATCACGATAGACTTGAGAGTCTTGCAGAAAGG